TATTTCTTTTTTTTTTACTTTCACGTTGCTTGTGTCATTATCGCTATTAAAAATACCTACAGTACTAATAAAGTACTATTTAGTAGTAAATATGTATTAATTAACATCATCATCATCATTTTAGCCAGAGGACGTCCACTTCTGAACATAGTCAACCCCCAATGACTTTCGTTCGTATCGCGTGGTTGGCTTGGTAGCGCCCTGCATCCAGTGCCTTCCTATTGCCTTTATGAGGTCGTCGGTCCACCTTGTGGGTGGACGTCCTACACTGCGTTTTCCGGTAGGTACGTGGCTTCCACTCTAGAACCTTGATGCCCCATCGACCCCAGCTTTCTACGAAAGCCGAAGTAGTTGACTAATTCATTCTTATATTATGATCAGAATTTATGCCACGATCCTCAATTTAGGCACGATGTTTATTCCAATTAATGACGCAACCACTTTAAGACTGTAGCAGAGATATTTCTTGCTAATTTAGATTAAAGCGCTCAATTTATTCCAATCTTCTAATCCGCAGGTATTTTGTTATAAATACTGGCACAAACTCATATCGGCCTAACGTACAGTCATAAACAACAGACGAAATTAAATCCACAAAAGCAGCTGTGGAACGTAATTATCAATAAATAATAGGCCAGTTTAGTCACAGAGACAATATTGTCGACGACGTGACACCTCGTCTCATATCCCAATGTTTGTGTGCGTGTTTGTTAAAATATATTCATTCGCGAACGCTCGTCTAAGCACATAAATCAACAGTGGCGAGGCTGGATTATTAATATTTGCTGTGACATCGAGTTAGGGTTGCTGGATGTGGCTTGTAAAATATTAAATATAAACGTTTTGTACAATCATACTTACTCGTGTATCCTCAAACTTGTAATCCATAAAGACGTGTATCAAGGATGTGGTTAGTGTGTAACTACTTATAAATCTACAATTTTGTTTAAATCATCTATGCAAATTAAACTAAGACTATTCCCGCCTCTCGTTCCCACCGCTGCAACTCCCGTATAGCCAGGATGGACAGATTGACCGCCAATAAAAACCCAACCAGTGAAGGTCAAGTTAGTCCCCGGGGAAAGTTAAACTGTCATTGTAAAGGTTACTAAACTTTTGTTTGTCACTGTCATCTTCTTTGCAAGGAAGACGAACCTTAAGTTTGAACTCCTCCTGTTCTTTTGATTAATTTCGTTGCGGGTTCAAAACTGATACGAAATTTTTTTTAACTGGTATTTTGCTACCAGGATCAATGATTTTTTAAATTGGATGTTAAGGTATTATTTAGTTACTTTTATTGAGTTTTGAGAGAGTAGAATAGTTTCTCGCAATTTTCTACGAGCAAACTGAAAAAGTCATTGATGCGAGACATTATTTACAAATTTTAATGATGACCATGGTTATGATTGCAAATGATGATAATTGTTTTTTACAAGAAGCCTTTTTTTTGTTTTTGACATTTTTTTTTATTTTATTTTTCCTTTTTGTTTTTGTATTTTTTTTTTAATTTATGTATAGGTATATTTTTTTGCGAACTATGTATCATTATATTCCTTAAGGGTATTTACAATATATTTACAGAATTCCGCGAAAGACTTAATTGCTATTTCACAAATTCTGTCAGTGCTGGTATGTCGAATGGAGACACGTCTAAGTGATGACATAGGGCAGGGATGGCGAACCAATGGCACGCGTGCCATTGATGGCACGCGCCACAATATTTAGGGCACGCCACCAATCACAAAATTTAACTTGTACTATCTATACCCCTCATTGATAGCATTAGGTGTTATTTGATGGCACGTCTATGACTACATCAAACATTTTTTTCGGAAAAGTGGCACGTTGTGACATAAAGGTTCGCCATCCCTGACATAGGGCTACTTATTGTGTCTCCCTTTGTCGAGGAACTTAAAAAATAAAAATAAAAATGCTCTTTCCATTTATTCTTATACTTTGTCGTAATAAAAGTGAGATCGTATCTTAAGGCGCAATTGTTGAGGTTTGTGCAGCGGAAGAAATGAAGACTTGTCAGGGATACTATAGTTAGCTTGGAAATTATAAACATCTTGAGCACTGGGTTCTTTGTTCCTTTCCCTAACGCCAGCTGTGACATTATCTATACTTATAATAAATCTGTAGAGAGGTCAATTCTGTACATGAAATATATTTTCAAAATAACTATCAGGGGGTGTTTAGTGATCGATACTGATGCCAAAAAATGCAATCAGTAAAATTTTTGTTTGTCTGTCTGTCTGTATGTTCGTTATAGAAACAAAAACTACTAGACGGATTTTAACGAAACTTGGTACAATTATTCTTCATACTCCTGGGCAGGTTATAGTATACTTAGGAATACCCACGGGAACGGGAATTAGCGGGAAAATCCTTTTGTATGAAAAATCTAAACCGCTTAAGTTAGACGCTTGATATTTGCCATGCAGGTACCTTAGTTAACTTAAAGCTTAGTTACAACAGGGTATTGCAAAATTCCCACGGGAACGGGAGTTAGCAGGAAAAAACATTTGTATGAAAAAATCTAAACCGCGTAAGATACATAGATGAAGGGGCTAAAACGGGATCCACGCGTACGAAGTCGCGGGCGGCCGCTAGTTTAAAATAATACTTTCTTTGAAGATACCAGTCTTGATTGATTATTCCATGAAGGTTTTTTGAAACAAGAATTTTGTTACATAGTATTAACGGCTTAGCTGTTTTAGAATCAAGCCCCATAACCTTATTGCAAAAAAGTAAAACACGCGGTGAATATTGTTAAAATGTCATTTCCATACTAAATGACAATTAAATAAGTGTTCAACGGGCGTCTAACTTTTTGTAATAAGTCCAGAATAGTTATATAGTATGGCTTTCTACATAGTTTTCCTGCTGAAAATTGTCATGATTTTAGCTTGAGTTTATTTTTGTTAACCACTACAGATGTATTTCCCTTACCTACTAATAATCCTAATTTTATTTTAATATCTTTGTTGCTTCTTTAAATAATAATAAATCTCTATATTTCATGCAAACATAAAGCTTTTTAACTTACCTTGACCTTTCTTGTTTTCAGGAGCGCGGACCACCCGATGCGTTGAACAATGACGTCATAAACTGGAGCTGCATAGAACACTATGATCACTGAACACTATAATTTAAACTTTTTTGTTGTAAGAGTTAACTTAGTACGGGAATTAACGCGATACACTATGTTAGGTAATAGGTGCATTTAATACGTGTAACACCGACCGCGGTCACAGGCTGACTGAGCTGTGTTGCCGGTTGCGATTGTTAAGTAGAATTAAATTTATTTCTACCCTCATGTTGTTTTTTGCCTAGTACCCGTTATACTTTGTCCGTATTCTACTGTATAATGTACTATCAGGCCTCCGTCACTCGCCTATGCCGGCCGAGATAATTACCTACAGCGCGCGACAACTTCAAGTTGCAAATCAGTCATGGCCGCCACGCGCCTGTGAGCACACGCGTATTTCTACACGCTCGGTCGATCATCATCACAATCAAGGTTTATTGTTCCAACAGCACTGTTATCCTTCTTTAATGGAAAATCGTAATATTTAGGAATAATAATTAACTGTAGTAATTTAAATAATTAATAAAAACTACACTTTTTAAATAATTTTGAATACTTATGACAAAAAACTGTAGCAAAAAAAATATTTTAGCTAATATAATTATATTAAAAATATTTTAGTTAATAAACATTAACTTTACTTCACCGTGTCTATTTTCCGACACTACACCTTTTAAAACTGTTTGTCCAATTTTAAATTATCGCAACACTGAAGTTTATTAATAGGTACTTTAGAGATAGTACGATTATACAAACACCACTAGATTAAAGTTTACCAATCGTAAATACAATAAATGCTTCTTAAAATTAAGTTTTTATTTATTCTACACAAAGGAGTGCAATTTCTGTTGCTACTATTATGTATTCTGTGGTACTATCTAATTAAATTAAATTTAATAATTGTATTTTTTGACTTGTAGATCTACTCACATTTTAATTAGTCATTTTGAATATTAGAATATCATCTGCGAATATTAACTAAGCTATTAATAGAAATTACGATATCTAAGTCAAACTCCATCTTGGATTTCAGCCGCCTGAATATAGATGAGTTCATCAAATGATAATCAAGTAGTATACCTACTTCATTAAAAGCCTAATAATAACACAAGTACGTACAGAAGCTTCAGCATACACTTGATTAACTTATATACTATAAATTTTGGATATTCACTCTTATGATTCAGAGGCATGGTATAATTGCTGAGGCCAGAATGCGTATCGCAATCACGGGACTATTTCCACCTCCCGTTGCCACCGCTGCAACTCCTGTGTAGCCAGGATCTACAGCTTGACCGCCAACAAAAACCCAACCAGTGAAGGTCAAGTTTGTCCCGGGGGAAGTTAAACTGTCATTGGACCTGCAACGAAATTAATTAGAAGAACATAGGAGGCATTTGAAGTTAAGTGCGTGTTACTTTTGTTATTTATTATGCTCTGTTAGGTTGCAGGTGTTTTACAAATAACCCTGTATTCTAGTTCACTGATTATAATATGCTAGCCACGAGTGTTGTTCTACCCTCCGTAAAGTCTCTACAAAATTCTTTGATATCCTTTTTTTTTGTAAGGTCATTGTCTAAGCTAGGTTAGCTTACTGTGTCTAGCTATATTGCCCAAATAATCAGCTTGTTCTTATGAATAATTTAGAAGGGCTTTCAAAGGACATTTTGTGTTAAAGACAATCTGGATAGGGCTTGTAATGTTTGGGCCCTAATCAAGATTGTATCGGTTTTCAAAGATAAGAAAATATTCAGATCATAATCTTAATGTAGATTGGATAAAGTCTAATTTAAATATTTGAGAAAAATACCAATCTATACTTGAAAACTTGGAAAAATAGACAGGGATTCTTAAAATGAAACCAATCAGTTCATAAAAATGTATTTTATTTTTCATTTTATTGTGCTTCTCATATTAATTTACAGATCGGACAAACCAGTCCATGATTTGTAATACATAAGTGATGCAACCTTTAATCTATACAATAAAACAAATGGTAAAAAAATAAATATCACTTAAATTATACACACAAAACAGAAAACAAAAACAATACTTTTGGACCACCAAAAAATATGTACTTCATTTACAAACTTAAGTTAATTTTAGTTGAGTCAGAAACAAAATAAAAGTAATGATTTAAATCATTTTAAGTCAAAACGTTTACAAATATAAATATAAAAGCATTTGTCGATGAATAAAAGGACATAAGTATAATTTACGAAGATAAAACACATGAAAAGTTTAGCACCAGTGATAAAATTAAAACAAGACATTAAAAAGTTTCTTTTCAAAACAATTTAGAGGTGTGTTTTAATGTATTGTGGATACCTATAATGATATGATTATAAAATTCAACTTACTATTCCTCTTGTAATTCGTTTACCTACATTTTTACAATATCTACAAATTCAAAAATTTTACAACTCTTAGTTTTCATACGAAAATCATCGTGTAGAATTTTATCATCAATAATTCGTAATGAATGTGATAATTTTAGGACTAGTTTGAAATAACTTACTAGGACGAAACTTCTATATCACTACCTAAAAATATGGTCACATGAATTTTGTACAAAACCATTATTTAATTGCTAATAAAATGATCGTTACAAGTCTTCGAAATGAAGTTGCTAAATCTAAATAGGGACGAACCTTCTACTTTGATAATAAATTTAACTTTGTACAGAGTTGTAGAAAAGTAGTCCCTAAAGGGTTCAAAATTGGTGAAATGACAGTGGATTATAACGTATCAGTGGTCGCTATATTAGAAGGCATTGAAATTGAGGCCGTGAACGTATCTTAGGCCGAGAGAAAGTAAACTACTAAATGCAATGATTACAATAATTCCTGCACTGTGAATTCGATTGTTCAACATCACACACTATGGGAGAGTCATGGCATTCAACCATCACAACAATTGAAAGTCACAAATGGAAGTTCACTTGTTCATGACATGGGTATCTCCGCTGATAACCGATGTCTAGAAGACGCTCTCGTTCCGCAGGTTCCACAAGTATTATTGCTGTACCCGGAATCAGATCCGAAGGAGGAATCTCCGCTTGGAGGCTTTGGAGAAGCTCTAGGTCCTCTCCAGCATGCAATACCAGGGAGTTCACCTCCAGGCCACGCACCACCGGCCCCCATTTGCAAAGGTCCTTGCGGTCTAGCTCCAACTGTTCCCACTTGAGGATACAGCCTTAGCAGTGCATCTAGGAGTACTCCTTCGTGGAATTCTGAAGGATCAGGTGGATGTACATGCCTTGGCATTCTGTGTTGCGTTCGTCGTCTTTCTAGTGATTTAGGGCGTCGGTCCATGCGTTGATGCCTGGGCCTGTGAGGCAAGGATTGGGGTGCTGGTGGTCTGGAGCAGGTCCGGCAGGGTGCTGCTTCGCCTACAAGACTGAGCTCGTCTTCAGCGAAGTGGTCATCACTGTGGAGGGAGTCGTCTGATCTGTGAGGCAGTTCCTCGTACAGAGGAGCACCGCAGGCGTCGCCTCCGCAAGTGTTCCCTCCTCTCCAAGTGCCACCAGCACCGCAGACGAAGACTCTTCCAGGGCAGTTGGGCCTTTTTGTTTCCACCATCTGAAAAATAAGGAATTTACGTTAATTTTACAAGATCACAGCAGAACTGAGGGAATTCTAAAACTTTCGAGTACCTACCTAAAGTAACTCGTAATATAAGAGCAAAAATTGATGAGCATGGATGTTCATTATGGGCTGCAATTTTTCCCTATAACTTAAATCTACGAGGACCAAGTCGCAGGCAGCATTAGTATATCCAATTCAAAGACTTTTTAAGAAATAGGTAAATATAGAATTTCGATTTATACCGGATACTGAGAATCAATTACTAATGGCATTTAGAATTAATTGCTTTGCTTTAATCTACAAAACAAACTAATTGATATTATTATTGGAGTAATGTTACTGATTGCAAAGGGTTAATGGTCCGTTCCATGGTATCTTGCCAAAATAAATTGGAAATTCAATTACTGCCTCAAAGCAAGTACTAAACGTAATTTCGTAGATTAACCAGTCGAAAATGTTTGAGGAGGCTAATCATAAAAGTTTGGGAATTTCTTAAAATTGGCTTAAAGCTATCAAGCGTTTGGAAGTGAACTTTGTAATGATGTTAGATACCAATTTTGTAGTCGTTTCTTATTGTTTAATTAAGTTGGTAACTGGATATTTAAAATATGAATTGCTGATGGGTATCAAAAGATATTTGAACTTGTTTTGAGCAATAGATTAATCTAGTTTGTAGTAAGTAACATAATTTAATGATGAATATTATAATGTAATTTAAAAATTTACTCTGTTTTATTAAAAATGATAATTTTAGGTAGTGTTTCATTATTAATTAAAGTATTCTCTAAGGGCGCAGCTTTTTCAGGCACCGCGTTTCATGCAATAGGAATTTGGAACGCGTTATGTACTTACGCGATGTTATCGCAATCAAACTTACTATGCACACAAAATAGTTAAGTTTTAAAAATAGCAAGGCAAATTTTAGGAGCGCAGCAGCGCGTGTCGACGTTGCCTGAAGCGTAGTGTGCATGGACCCTAAAGGTCTACCAATTTAAAGATAACTCTCAGCTTATCTGTGGGCTGAGTGTGAGTTTACATCAAACGCGCTCAAAAAATGTATGAAAATTTTACTTTTTGAACGTTTCCCGCTAGGGACGCTGTACAATCCGTCACACATTTAAGTCATTTTTGACGCGCTCACTAGCGTTTAAAAAATGTATGAAAATTTTAGTTTTTGAACGTTTCCCGCTAGGGGCGCTGTACAATCCGTCTACATATTATAATGTAATTTTTTGACGCGCACACTAGGCCCTCTGGTCTACGAAAAAATATTATTTAAACCGACTCACCTCTAATTGCGGTTCCAAGTCCGGCCTGTGCGGCAGCGGTGGTCTTCTAGGCAGGTCCTGGAGGTCTTCGTAGAGGGGTGCGGGAGGGGGCGCCCTCCTCTGGGACCCTGTGCTCTGGTTTGGCGCTGAAGACTTGGAGGGGAGGAGGTTCGTCACTTTCCGCTTGTGTCTGTTGAAGAAGGAGAGGTTTTGGTTAGATTTATTTTTATTTTTATTTTATTCAATAAGTACACATACAGGTTACAGTCATTTACATATCAAAATACATAAACAAAATAAACAGTGTCTAAACTCTAACCAAGAAGTAGCGTACATTGTTGTACATTTATGAAACACTAGCTTTCCGCCCGCGGCTTCGCCCGCGTGGAATTTTGTCTGTCACAGAAAAACTTTATCGCGCGCGTCCCTGTTTCAAAAACCGGGATAAAAACTATCCTATGTTCTTTCCCGGGACTCAAACTATCTCTATGCCAAATTTCATCAAAATCGGTTGCGAGGTTTAAGCGGGAAAGCGTAACAGACAGACAGACAGACAGAGTTACTTTCGCATTTATAATATTAGTTGGGACTAGCTTACGTCCGCAGCTTTGTCTATGAAGGAAAGGCTTTATTACGCGCGTGTCTCTTTGAAAACTAGAATAAAAACCTATGCTATGTTTTTCTCTGTGCTTTAAATTATCTCTTTTCCAAATAGCATCTAAATAAGGAGTTTTATATGTGAAAAGGTAACAGATAGACAGAGTTACTCTCGCCTTTATGTAATACGTATCATCATCATCATCTCAGCAATAGGACGTCCACTGCTGAACATAGACCTCCCCCAATGCTTTCCATGTGGCCTGGCTGCGTCCAGCGCCTTCCTGCTTCCTTTATGATGTCGTCGGTCCACCTTGTGGGTGGACGTCCCACGCTGCGTTTTCCGGTACGCGGCCTCCTCTCCGTAATACATATGATTTGATGATAAGATGACTGGTTGTGTTTAGAAGATAGAATAATCCAGGATCAAGCTTGATGGTTTGCATTGAAGGAGAACATTTTTTGTAAGAACCATCTATTATTGAGGTACTTCAAAAATTACCAAATATTTTAAAGGAATTTTGGAATGATATTCCCAATCTTAATTTCTACAATTCAACTACCCTCTTCCCACTCAAAGCTTTATTCAATATTTACGCTTCTATAAGTCGCATCCCTTGTTCAATAGATTTTATAACAGGAAGTGTGGAATTAATATGATTATAATAACAGGGTAGATAGATAAGGATACTCCACTTTGGTTTGTGAAAAACTACTTTAAGTAAACAAATAAATTAAATTGAGTGTATGACATGCATGATCATATTTTTTGCTCATGAGATTTAAGTTAGTGGGTGTAAGATACACGCTCATATTCACAAACATTACCTACCATGAGGTCTCACAGTGCGCGTGGTCGCACAGGGTGACACGACACACGAACCAATCACAGAGCTCTATTAAACGCTGTGCGTTCGATTTGTAGCTTCACTTAAACAAGCATCGTTTTTGAATACAGGCGTTGGTTTGTCACAGATTGCTACAAATGATGTTAAATATTCTTATTTACAAAAGTATTATTAATACTGTAAAGTTTCATCAAAATCCGTTCAGTAGATTTAGCGTAAAAGAGTGACAAATAATATCCATCCACCCTCATTAACTTTCACATAATATTAGTAGATTTTTGGTCCAAAGAGGCTCACTGAGCGTTTTATGAGTACCTATTCCATTCCAAATATTTCTCGTCACATCCACATAAGTCTGTCTTTCACTTAATATTGTAGACCGAACAAAGCTGCGATCCCTTTCAATTACAGCAAGATGGCGCCATTATAAACCTATTAGATACGCCAATTTCACGTGCTCTGTGCAGCATATGGTATTAAAAAAGGAAATATTGTGAACAGTGTAAGCCAACCAGTAGGTTCACTTTCTATAATGTCCCAAAGGTACCTGCTAGATTCGTCTATTATGATTTCTTAGAGTAATTTAAAGCAATTCTCGAAAAAAACTGTTAGATTCGTTTTTAAAAAGTAGTAAGTCCGAAGAAAACTATATTTAAGACGAAATTAAACTTAAAATAACGCATGAGAATATTAGTACAGTTTTTGATATTTTCGCTTTTACACCCAAATTCTGAAATGACACTTAAGTAAGAATATCATAGACTCAAATCTATCGAATATCGATTGGTATCATCAAATTTAACTAATTAGTCACGACTTTGTTTCAATAGAAATTGACTTTAATAGTGGCTTGGTAGTAAACCTACTCAGCCTTTTTATACTATAACAAACATCTAACAAAAGCTAAGACAGCAGGTAGCAAATATGATGTGTCTATTAAATTCGGACTATAATGGTGGGTTTGTGGCGAGGCAGATGTTTGAAACCGGAGTGGTTAATTAAAGGAATATATCAATTGTTAAGGGATATCTCAATTTATGAAATAGAATAGGCAAAGATGTGTGATGCCGGTGCGGTTATGATATTTTAAAAAACTTGGAAACTGATCTAGGTACTTAAGTTGAATCATATTTATGTAAATATAAATATAAAAAATATTAAAAAGGCATTTATGGGCTTCGTGGATAGTGTAAACCGCTATAGCTAGCAGTGGATAATACTGTGTATCCGCGAATTTCGACAGTCACCATATGGACAGGAATTAAAATTGTTGTAGTGTAGAAACACGCTATTATCCAATGCTAGTTGCGCTGATTTACACTATCTCTCATGATGAAATTAAGCTAGTTTGAGCATAAAAATACCGTAGGACCTAAATACAGGGCAAATTTTAATAAAACGTTCAGTTTTACGAAAAAATCTAAATCCACAAAGTATGATGAGAATATAAAAATAAATAGGTACGAGTATGTTTAACTTGTAGTACCTAAGAGAATAATATTAAAACCAGTTAGCCTCTTCGAAGTTTTTCTTATCTTATACAAAAATTGTCTAACTATCGTAATTAATGTCATACCACAAAGACATCGTTACTAAATCATAACGACGACACGACGACACGACGACGACACGACGCCCACCCACGGTCCGGATGCGAGCACAGGTGCTGTGCATTGGCCGTTGGGAAAAAGCACAGGTTTTTGGTCATTGGACTAATGATTTGATGTATGGATACAAATAAAGTAAAGCAAAGTTTTTGGCGTGTGCGGTGGGTCTGTTTTGCATTAAACGAACCTTTAAAGGACTGTACTGAATAGGTAAGTCAGATTTGATAATGACAGTGAAGTCAAGCTTTAAAATATTATATGACTAAATATCAAGACAGTCAGTGGTGACTGAGTTTGATACAGCACTTCTTCTCGGCACTTGCCAAATAATTGTTTCAAAGCGCTGGTAGGGTAAAAAACCATGAGACAATAATATTATGAAGATGAAGGACATATTGTGAGAACTAATTGAATTAGTCTAAACAAATAAAGATATTTTAATATTGATTTTATTTTTATTAATCAATCTCTATCGAAACTACAATCAATCAGCAACATAAATAAAAAAAAGCTTTTCTTTATCTGAATAAGAGCTGGTCATTTGACAATTGAATTGAATACACCAATGCACAACCTTCTTAGTATACCTAATCGCACCGAATTTTCTATGCTCCTTATCTACTATCTCATTTTTAAAGATAAAACTACATTTATTATCTGTTACAGCCTCTACAATCCAATGTAACTCTTAATTCAATCACAATAAACAACAGAATGCGTCAAGTTAAATCAAACATACGCCTTTCCGGCACTAGTGATGGGAATAAAAGTTCCTGTCGCTATTCGATAAAGTTAATCGAATAAATCAAGGTAATACGTACAGACGGTTGCGAGTAAACTTTCCTAGTAAGTAATAACTCGTATTGATTCTTCGATTGTGTCGATACCGTACTGTGGAAGAAATCTATCGAGTAGTTAATGGGTATTGATAATTTTAAAAGCAGCTGATTATACTTCAATGGGCTGTCTTCAATGTTATCTAATTAGATCGGGGTCTATTTGCAAAAGCACTTTAGGCTTTACAAAATGGATGATAAGTCAAACATGTGAGTAAAATTGCTTAGATTAAGATTATAATTTTAAATTTTCCCAATCATTATGAAATTATCTTACTAATTACGTGAATATTATTGAGTTGATGTTGATAAATAATATATGAATTTAGTTAAATCTTTTTCACTTGGGAGAAAATTTAGAAAATAAACTAAGTGATCCACTATCTTTTAATGACGATTGTGAAAATAGTCAGTAAAATAGTTTTATTCTGTTTCGTTCCATGCTAAGCTTGGATGGTTACATGTCTAATATAATGTGGTTTTAAATGCAATATGAAGGAAACTACTTTCACCTTACATGTGCTCAAATTAACTATACATCTAAACCTAATGAAGCAGAATAACTGTTGTGACATTATAACCGTACATATTGGCTAATCTATGCTCACGCAAAACGTATCTGACTGAGCACGACACACAGAATCCGACACCAGGTGATGTATTTTGGAAGCACTCGAATTTCAAATCGCTAATGGATTTGCATAATCCCATACGAGTGCCTAAAAATATATTTTAAAGTCATTGTATACTTTTATTGGTATCCACTGCTAGTATGTTAAGTTCTTTTAGGCATTGACCATACCATTAGCGAAAATAGTAAAAAATATAGAGCCAAAGAAATTAAAGAATAAAATTTGGTAACGGATTATAATATCTGTCAAAGATTCAATAAATGTCTTAAAGCATGTCTTATTAGTTTCCATTTTTTTGTTATTTTTTTTTAATGATGGATTTGATGCCATGATTTCTTTTCAGTAGTTTATAAATCGGGAGAAGTAGAAATCAGTATCGCATACGACTTGATTTCGTGCACGAATTCAAGATTCGACTGCTTCAATAATACGTCTCTACACCGCATCGATGTCGACAAGGCGTTTTGTCGATGACCACAAAACGAAACCGGTATAGAGTTACTCGATAGTCGATAATTAGTGGCTCGTTACTAATCGGTAGGGACGCGTTGTGAGATTGATTGGCGTTAGTCGAAATTACTTTAGACTGGCCGGGTATAATGAGGTGCGATGTTAGACGATGTAAAAAGTGTTGGCTGTCACACTTTTTTTGTAACATTTTTTGGTGTAA